AATGAGCATAGATCCTGATTTGCTTGTGGGGTGTTTACATATCTTCCCATTAATTGTTTGTCCACCCGGCAATTTTCTGTGCATTGCCTTGTCATTTTCCTAGCTGCAAAAAAAAAAAAAAAAAAAAAAAAAAGCCTGTTGTGTTGTTGTTTTATGACAGAACTTGGTTGAGTTTTTCCTGGAGTGCCTGCTGTGCGGAAATCCAGCTAGGGGTGCCAACCAACCCAACAAAACCCAGCTTGAACTGCTTTTCTGCCTTTAGCAACAGCTTGACCTGCAACCGTTGGCAAGCAAAACTTTTCACAACAAAGAGGGGAACATTGCCACATGCTGATGGTGCAGAGTGAAGGCTTATCCACACAATCTTTGCGCTGTGCTTTCAAGGCACAGATCCAGACTTTTCAGGTCCTGATCCTGGTCCCAGCAATTTCCCTGGGGGAAAATCTCCAGGGCCTGATGAGCTGCATCCAAGGGTACTAAAGGAGCTTGCGGATGTAATTTCAGAACCCTTGTCTATTATCTCTGAAAATTCTTGGAGAACAAGTAAGATCCCTACAGACTGGAGGCGGGCAAATGTTGTTCCCATCTTCAAAAAGAAGACCCAGCTATCTACCGAACGGTGAGCTTGACATCAATACCAGGGAAGGTCCCAGAACAGATAATTCAATAGTCAGTCTGTGAGCATTTAGAAAAGGATGCTGTGATTACCAAGACCCAGCATGGGTTTCTCAAAAATAAGTCATGCCAGACCAATCTGATTTCTTTCTTTTTTTATGGAATTACAAACTTGGTGGATCAGGGAAATGCTGTGGACACAGTGTATCTTGATTTCAATAAGCCTTTTGACAAAGTCCCCCATGATATTCTCGCAAGGAAGCTGGTAAAATGTAGGTTGAACGAGGTAACCGTTAGGCGGATTTGTAGCTGGTTGACTGACCGAACCCAAAGAGTACTCATTAATGGTTCCTTGTTATCCTGGGGAAAAGTGACAAGTGAGGTGCTGCAGGGTTCTGTCCTGGGCCCGTTGTTGCTTAACATCTTTATAAATGACTTGGATGAAGGAATTGAGGGGATGCTCATCAAATTTGCAGATGACACCAAACTGGGAGGGGTAGCTAATTCCACAGAAGACAGAATCAGAATTCAAAATGACCGTAACAGATTGGAGAACTGGGTGCAAGTTAACAAAATGAATTTCAATAGGGACAAATGTAAGGTTCTGCACTCAGGCAGGAAGAACCAGATGCACAAATATAGGATGGGGGACACCTGGCTTACTAGCAGTACATGTGAAAAGGATCTATGGGTCTGGGTGGACCACAAGCTTAACATGAGTCAACAGTGTGATGCAGCAGCAAAAAAACCCCTAATGCTATTCTAAGCTGCATCAACAGAAGTATAGTGTCCAGATCAAGGGAAATAATAGTGCCACTCTATTCTGCCTTAGTCAGGCCACACTTGGAATACTGAGTCCAGTTCTGGGCACCACAATTTAAGAAGGAAGTTGACAAGCTGGAATGTGTGCAGAGGAGGGCAACCAAGATGATCAAGCAAGGGTCAGAAAACTTTTTCAGCAGTGGGCTGGTCCACTGTCCCTCAGACCTTATTGGGGGGCAGACTATATTGGGGGGGGGAGAGAAATGAATGAATTCCTATGCCCCACAAATAACCCAGAGATACATTTTAAATAAAAGGACACATTCTACTCATGTAAAAACACGCTGATTCCCGGACTGTCAGTGGGCCGGATTGAGAAGGCGATTGGGCCAGATCCGGGCCCTGGGCCTTAGTTTTCCTACCCATGATCAAGGGTCTGGAAACTAAGCCTTATGAGGAACGCTTGAAGGAGCTAGGTGAGTTTAGCCTGGAAAAGTAGAGACTGAGAGGAGATATGATAGCCATCTTCAAATATCTTAAGGGCTGTCACATGGAGGAAGGAGCATGCTTGTTTTTTCCTGCTCTGGAGGGTAAGACTCAAACCAATGGCTTCAAGTTGCAAGAAAGGAGATTCCCATAAAACATTCAGAAAAACTTTCTGACAGTAACAGCTGATCAGCCATGGAACAAACTCCCACAAGAGGTGGTAGACTCTCCTTCCTTGGAGGTTTTTAAACAGAGGCTGGATGGCCATCTGTCATGGATGCTTTAGCTGAGATTCCTGCATTGCAGGGGGTTGGACTAGATGACCCCTGGGGTCCCTTCCAACTATGATTCTAGGATTCTATAAAAACGCACATTTTGCAGGTGAATCAAAGCAAATGGCAGCTGAGTTTTTCATGGATTACCATTTGCTCCGATTCACTTTTAAAACGTGGGTTTTCCCATGGAAAGTGCTGGGACAAAAAGAAAAAGAAAAAAGAGAGACCTGGAAAGCCCTGACTTGTGCCTAGAAACAGCACAAAAGGAAGTGCGGATGAGCTCTGAGCTGCTGTTAAAAGCACCCCAGCAATTAGTGGCTTGGGAGATTTAATCAGGAGGAAATGTTCTTTTAAAAACCTTCCTGCATTGCATTGCATTGCATTGCACTGCATTGCATTCTTGTGATTTGGGGCCCTTGAAGTTGTCGTTGTTAATAATAATATTTATTAAGTTTTCCATTTTAACAATCCAATAAAAACCACATTAAAAACATTCCAAATTATAAAATAATCAAACAATCCAAATATTATGCCAAATTATAAATCTTTGGTTGGCTTCCCATGCTCTGAGGTCGGGGAATGATGATTATCTCACATTTGTGCTGCTTCTCTTAATTAGTCCAGGTAGTTCCAATAAATCAATCCAATGTTAATCCTTCATTTATTTTTAATAGCCTCTGAGTTCGTCTGGCAAGCGAGTTAAACCAATACAGCATGTTTCTGTGTGGGTGTTTATTTTCTTTTGTTGTTGTTGTTGTTCCATCAGGAATCCTGATCATGGAACCTCCGATCTAACTGTGCTCAAAGGAGGCTTTTCATGCATGGATTTTGATCAGGGTGTTGTAGATTGAGTCGAGACATATTAATCAATTCATCATGCCAGTTTCAGCCCATCTATTAGATAATCGGTTAAGTCGCAGCACAGAAACAATTTATAGTCTGCACGAGGAATGCTCCTGCTGGTTTCTGTTTGCGGAATAATTTTGTGGAATAGCGATTGACTGAAAAAAAGAAGAAATAATAAAGCTTCTACTTAAATAATAATAACCAGTCGATTCATTGTGCATCAGTTTACAAAATAGCAAAACCAAGCCAGAAGCAGGTTTTCTATGGTTTTACAGCAGGGGTGCGGAACCTCTGTCTCTCAAGATGCTGTTGGACTGCAACTTGCGTCATCCTGATGTCTGGCTGTGTTTGGTCAGGGCTGGTGGAATCCAGTAACATCACTGTCCTTGTTTTGGATGAAGTGAGCATGCAGAGTCATAAGTATTGTGCTGTCTTCAGCTAAGTCCTGCTCAGAGTAGAACCACTGAAATAAAGGGACCTAAGTTAACTCTGCCCATTACTTTCAATGCATCTACTCTGAGTAGGCTTAACATGGCATACAACCCATTGTCTTAAACAGAGGCATCCTACCTACTTGTTTGTAAAAAGGACAATGATGCCTTTGTTAAAACAGTGCTAGCCAACTGCAGTTTTTATAAGTGCTTGAATTAAAAATAATCATTTTATAGCAGGTTAAAAGGCAGTGGGGTGGTTTTTTTCTTTTTAATTTTTTAATTAAAATAAAATCATCACAACAGAAACAGTTCCTCTTTATATGTAAACATGAAATATAAATATAATGTCATAATATGTATCTGCACGGGGAAAAGTCAGTTATGAGTTAAAGTGCATTGTATACATATTAGGTGTCCTTGGCTCCTATGGTTCTATTTTGTTTTAAGCAGAATGTCAAATTATATGATTGAAAATCATATCTAAGGTTGAACTTTGTCCTGGGATTTTTTCATTCCCATAATGAACAAGCAGACTTCATTTTTCAAAGCCATGTTCTGCTCCCAGTGCTTTATGCCATTCACTTTCATCCGATTCCAAGATGTCATCTGCTTTGATAGACCTCAAGTTTTAAATTGATTTGTATAACTGATTTTAAACAGTGCAGCCCTAATTTTTCTGCAAAGGTGTGTGTTGTTCCTTGTGCATGTGCTTCTGGGGACACATCCAGAAAGTAGTAAACATGCCCAGGGCCTTGTTTGCACATGAATGCTCATCCTTTGACTTCAGTCCTAAGTGGTGATCAGCATTTGGGTGGTTTGACCTCTGAGCTGCCACCCTCCAAAATGAAACTCTTCTATATTTCTGGGACAGGATGCTTTTCTCAGTGGTGCCTACTCACACCTTTAGCTGCCTGTCACGGGGCATGTGACCCAGTCGACCCTATCACGGTGTGGGTGTGGGTTAGGGTTGCCACGTTTCCTCTCTGGCTCTGCTCCTCTGCTTTTAAGAGCTGCCCTGGCATACAGCTCTGCAAACTCGTTCTATGGCGTTCTCTCTCTCTCTCTCTCTCTCTCTCTCTCTCTCTCTGTGTGTGTGTGTGTGTGTGTGTAAAAGTGTCACCTGCTCAACTTCTCTTTTGTAGGCCTGCTGCTTAAAAGCGCAGGAGCGGGGCTCATAAGAAAAAAATTGGCAACCTTTGTTGGAAACGGGCCAGTCGTGTGCAGCTGCAGCTGGAGGAGCTGGTGGCCTCAGTGGCTGAGGCTGGCGAACCCTATAAAAATAAGCAAACAGGGAGCGCTCTGGCCCAGCGCAGCTGCCTTTTGCAGCTTCTCTAAAGCGGTAGACCCACCTCCTTCTCTCCCCCTCGCCACCCCTTTCCTCTCTCCCTCTGTCTTCTTCCTTGCCTGCCAAAAGCAGCTCGGAGTCGAGGCTGGCGTCCCCTCCACCCCAGCCCGTCCCCTCCCTCCCTTCTCCACTTTCTCCCCTCCCCTCGTCTCCTCTTTCCCCCACAAGGAAAGCACAGCCAAGCCCGTTCAGCCAATGTGATCCCCGGAAGGGTTTAGCTGGGGGTGGGGTGGGGAGGGGGCTTTCTGGGGTGGGGGGTGGAGAGAGAGAAGGAAAGTCAGTCTCTTTCCTCTTGCACTCTCTTTCTGAAGTAGAAGCTCAGTGTCTGGAGGTGAGTGTGGGTGCCGGAAAGCCTGAGAACTGGGGAAGAAATAATAATAATGATGATAATAATGCTGCCCCAACACACACCCCTTTCCCCACGATCCCAGATCTCTTTTTTTCTTTGCAGAGAGGAGGCAATTCTGGCTACACACGAGGACTGAGCCGGCCACCCTCCTCGTCCCAGGACCAAGACGCCTGCCTGAAGGCAAGATGTCCCAGCTGTCTGTCAAAGAACATCTGGATGGGATTCTCTCTGACTTTGAAGGTAGGGCCAAGGGACCCAGGCGTCCGGGCAAAGAAGTGTCACTCTCTCGCCCTCCCCATCCATATGGTTCCTGCTAAGAGGGGGCGGGTTACAGTTCCAGAAGGCAGGGGGGTGCCTCGCTTTCCTGGAAAACTTGCAAGAGAGTGAAAGAGAGAGATGCACCAAATGTTAAAGTGTGGGTGGTGGCAGATCTGGGTCTGTGAAATCCAGGAAACTTGGTGCTATAAGCTTGGTGCTATTTCTAATCCTCTTTTCAGAGGAGGAAGTTACCAAAGCAAACCTGCTGGAGTTTGGTGCTTAATTTATTTTTAAAAAGAGAAAAGTTGGGTGAAAGTTGACCGCACAGTCACACCCTGGGCTGTGTGTAACCATGATTTTGCAGGAGTGCAGAATGCCGTATCGGGCGCTGGAAACAGCCACCTGCGCATTTCCATATTCTATAAGGTTTCTAGTCCTCATGCCTGCAAAGATATCATTGAAAGTGTGTGGATAGAATAATATTTCAAGTGGATGTGTGGGTGTGTGCTTTGGAGCCCTTTATAGATCCTCCCCTCCCCTCTACTCCTGGTGCTTACAAAATCAGACAAAATTATGCAAACCAGTATACATTATCCCAAGATGCAAATTGCATAAATTGTGTAGGATACAAATTTCAGCTTTCTTGGTGTAGAATTTGGACACCGTGTTCAAATGTGTTAAATGTAGAATGCACGGTCTCCTGGTCAAAATCCAAAGCTGCCCTCTACTGAGCCAATATTCTCTACACTGACTGGCAGCAGCTCTCTAGCGTCTCCAACAGAGGATGGGGCTTTCCCTGCGGGAACTATGTTAAAAAAAAAAAAAGGTTATTTGGGTACTCCAGTCAGAGTTCAGATTTGCTCATTTAGCAAGCCAGTGAAACAGGGACTCGGACAGAACCAGCGGTAAACACCGCAGACTCAAGATTGCAGTTGAAACGAATCAGTCGGTTTATTGATGTGCGGTGCTTCATTCAAAGCATCTTATCTTCACATGGAAGATAATGACATTCTGAACTCTGAATCAGATACAACCACATAATGCAATATAGAGTTGGGATTGCATGAGAATAGCATTATAGTAGCGCTAACAAAACAAGCCATCAGACTCTGCTATCTGCTATCCTAACTGAAGATTTGGACCCCTGATGTTCTCTAGCCCATCGCACCGTGTCATGGAATTTCTACGTTCCGTAGCATATTCTCATTTCTGTGTTTTGCAACATACTTAGCGTTTTGGAATAAAGTTCATGGTTACCCAGCCAGCTGGGGGTTGGGGTGGGGGAATCACGTGAAGAAGAACTGAACAGATTCCAAGCAGAGAGAGGCAGAGGCAGATTCCTCTGAACATATTTTATATTAATCAGGAAGAAGACCAGGAGGCTGGAATTTTCCACCATTCGTGTCACTCTCAATGTGCATGTAGGTGAAACCCCTTTTAGAGACAGACCAAGGTTGAGGAACCTATTTCAGCTGAAGGTGCCATTCCTTTCTGGACAACCACCCCAGGGCTTCATACCAGTGGTGGGTGGGGCTAAAGGCAAAAGTAGGCGGAGCAATGGATGTTAATTTTTACGTTTGTGTTTGCGTCTAAGAAGCTGGCCGGTTGCTTGCTCTGAATGGGGTTGTACCTTCTCGTATAGGAGGGCAGCAGGTGGTCAGTCTGGGAATTGCTTCTGGACATAGCCTTTGTCCTCTGAGACTATAGGGAGGGGTGCTGGAGAATTTTGATGGAAATGGAAGCGAAAGCTGCCGGTATTTGCTTATTCATCCCATGACTGAAATGGAGATCAGACCAGTGAAAACAATTGGTTGTTGGTGTTGATGATCTGCAACAGATACATAATGATTGCATTGCACTAAAATGAACGGTGTGGCATAAGAATGCAATTAATTACATAAAATTCTGCCACAGCAGACAGTAAGATGAGTAGTGCAGGTTTTGTTGGAAGCCAGGCTTTAGAGGAATGGAGACAGCCTTTAAATGTGAACTGAATTGAATTTCTTCCCTAGACCTGGTTGTGCTCACGTCCTACTTGGGGTATCTGGTTGGCCACTGTGAGAACAGAGTGCTGGACTAGAGGGCCTTTGGCCTGATCTGGCAACCAGGATCTTCTGGTGGTCTTCCTCCCATCTGCCCTTGTACCATCTCACTCCCCTTCCCACAGCTTGACTTGGCCCAGCGCCAGGTGTCTAGATTGAAAGCTTTTGGGCAGGGACCTTGTCTTCCCGTGCACCGTGCACATACAGAGTTCCATAGGGATAAATGCATATAATACTTGGGAACACCATGTTGTATGGTTGGTGCATCTAGCTCGGTATCTAGACTGACCGACAGCAGTTCTCCAGGGTTTCAGAGCGGGTTCTTTTCTGGAGATGTTGGAGATTGAAGGTTGCATCCGACATTCCCTTGTGGACAACCTTCTGGAAGCCCGCAGCAGATAGGCCACACAGGTAGGCCAGAGATAAAAGTGGGCGGGGCAAAGAATACAATAATAATAAATAATATTTTTTTATTTATACCCTGCCCTCCCCGACAGGGGCTCAGGGCGGCTAACACCAGTACAATTTAAAATGCAGCCTCATTTTAATAATAGCCCATAGATCAAAGCCATAAGGGGAGGGAAACATAAGGGTCAGACTGAGTCCAAACCAAAGGCCAGGTGGAACAGCTCTGTCTTGCAGGCCCTGCGGAAAGATCCCACAGGGCCCTAGTCTCTTGTGACAGAGTGTTCCACCAAGTTAGGGCCAGAACTGAAAAGGCCCTGGCCCTAGTTGAGACAATTCTTCCGTCTGTACAGTGTGCTACATTCAGCCATGCAAATGTCAAGAGGTTCCTCCATGTGCTCTTGCTTCTCTACCCAGGCAAGCAAGAGGCATTGTCCCAGCTAACCACTCAAGGAAGGACCATGAGCAGAGATGGGTGTGACCCGTGGGTTCCCCCCTCCCCACCAAAACTGCACAATACTCAGTATAGATCCAGTGGAATTAATTCACTGAAAGCTAGCTATGCTCCAGCTCCACTGTCGGAGGCAACGTACCAGCTGCTGGAATTCACAAGTGGGGAGACACTGTTCCTCTGCCCAGGTCCAGTTTGCAGACTTCCCATTGGACACTGAGATCAGGATGCTAGATCAGATGGGCCTGACGCTTTTCAGCTCATTAGTTTCAGCAGGTCTACTCTGAGTTTGATGCCTTAGTTTGATTCAGCCTTGAACTTGGAATCTTCTGCTTGCAAAGCAAAGTCTCCACCATTGAGCTATGGCCTCTCCCATAACTGGATGATGAAGATAATGATTATGATTCCCTAAATGATGATGATCCCCAGGGCTGTCTCATCCATTGTCACGATCTCAGCCGAGCCTTTGGCTTTGTCGAAAGCAGCAAAGTCAGGCTTAAACCTCTGCAAATATAGAGTGAGTGTGCATTAATCAGAAGAAAATTTGGCCTGGTGAGTGTGTGAAATATATGATGCCTCTGTGTACTTTAATGTGTTTGCATAAGGGATTTCGATATGCCAAGGGCCCTTTGGGTGTGTACTTTAAAGATGGAATTTGTGAAAAACTCCTGCAGTAGAATCCCACCCCCAACCACCTCCGTTTTCTTGCTTCCTGAAAGAAATATATTCGCCCCACCTCTCTTTGGCCCAGATGAAAATGAGCTCTGCCCAACCCAAATATCAGGGACCATCGCCCTCTGCCCATCTTGATCGATCAGATATTTGGGCACCTGTGTTGGAAATACCCACATGAGTTGGGCAAAAGGACTTCTTCACACAGCACATAGCTGGACTCTGGAATTCAATCCCACCAGGAGTGATGGCTATTCACTTGGATGGCTTCTCAGAGGATTAGCTGAAGCTGTAGAGGCTACGTCTACCAGGGGCTACTGGTCATGGTGGCTAGATGTTCTTTCTCCCCTTTCAGAGGCACTCCAAAATGGCATTTACTGGGAACCACAAGTGGGGAGCTGGCTGTTGCATTCAGGTTCTGCCTACAGACTCCCCATAGGCATCACCATGAAAACAGGATGCTGGGTTTGATGCCCCATTGGCCTGATCCTGCTGGCTATGAGATATAAAACCATGCTAGTCAGTCAGTGCAGGCAGAACTGAGGGAGGCAGATCAACAGTTGGACTCTGTGTAGAGACTTGGTGAATCAGCCCATTTTGGTTCCTCATCTTTTCCCAATCTTAAATTCAGTTTTCCACATTTCCACAGCAGTTTGAAATTTATTTGTTTTTTTATATAGTCCTAATGAAAATTAATCAGCACTTCAGTGCGGACTTCCTCTAATACACCCATTTGTATATGCAGTTTTGACTAAGTGCTAATCCACAATTACTTTTCCTCCACTTTTTCCAGGCATGGTCCACAAGTTATATCTCTGTCTGGGTGTGCTTTTTCCCCTCCAAAGCTTTCCTTGCAAAAGCCTGCTCTTTAGAGCTCAATCAGAGCAAACAGCAATCTGCAGAAAAGCCAAATTGACATTTGCTCCGATTCAGCTTTACTGAGCAGGTTTTTGTGGGGAAAGCTCGGTTGGGGGGGCACTAAAACACAAAGCATTAAACCTCAGCCTGGAAAGAGTGGAGGAAAAAGTATGGATAAGCCCAAATACCTGCAAAGCAATATCCCCTAATATAATTCATTTTTGTATGTTAGTTTCAGAACTATGTGCATGTTCTGTGCACATTTTACCTTAGCATATGTACATTCATATGCATTGCTGGAGAGCTGCATTGCAAAATTTGGAGGGGAGTGAATTTCAAAAGATAGCTGAGTTTAGGTTTTGTGTCTCATTTTGGAAAGTGCAAATTAGGTAGGTTCTCCTTTGTAAATGAGCTGAATCAAATTTCTCCCCCGTCCCTAACTTAGTGCAAGGCATTTTCTTATGGGGGACTAGACGTGATAATTAAGTAGAACCTCCTCATTTCAAGGCAGTATATCTTTGAGTTCCTGAAACCGGGTAGACCGGCTACTTTCA